CACACGGATTAAGCCTCCTGTGAACCCCCTCTGACCATAGACTAGGGATGTGCATCACCCTGCTGTCATGCAGCGTGCACTGGGAAGCGGATCGTTGCAGATGCAATTAGGTTAAGAGTTATCAATGTATCATATGATCTCTTTTTTTGTCCATTTAAAAACTGTTTTCGTTTTTAAGATTTTCTGCTTTATTTTCAATTGAGATGTTTCTTGCTTTACATTGTTGTTGATTTGGGGTATGATTCTCTGTATATTAAGTTCAGGATTGGTAGGTCTATAGAGACCATAACTGGATTAATGGTTTCTTGAGGTATGGCAGGAGAGAATTCAGGGAAATGAGGAGCTAATAACAATGAATAGAAGACAGAAGAAAACGTTCTAAAATCGATGTGATGATGATCGCATAACTCTTTTTGATGTGATTGAACTACTGATTTGTATAATATGTGAATTATATGCCAATAAAACTGTTAAACAAAAGAGAGAAATGAGAGAAAGCCTACTTTCTAACCACAGATGTAATACTCAGAACACCAAAGCATATAACTTATCTTCTGACTGCTGTATTTGCCTCCCAGGTATTTGGATGTTTCCAAACAGTTGGGAACCGCGAGGTTTGATGTGTGTGTACACGCTTGTGTGAGAGCAAGTAAACAGGAGCGGCCCAGGCATTAGCACATCCATCCTGCATTCATATTTCTCAGAGGACATAGGCGTGCGTGCACCTATGTCCTCAGCAGCACCTAGCTGAGTCATTCAAATACACAGACCCAACCCTGACTGGGCTTTGCCCCATCTCATGCAAGCTCTGGCTGTTGGCCCCGGTCTGATGCTTGCTTACCAGCTTAGCCAAAGGGATAACAATTGTTTGAGGAAATAACTAGCATTAGGCCAGAATTGTCATCGTGTAAGAACAAAGAAATCACACACACACACGTTTGTGACCATGAGCACTAGCTTTATAATATGCCACTGTTCTATAAAATAACTAATTCACAACGAAGGCATTCACTAACAATACTCCAATTTTCTACTTTGGCTCAAAATATCTATATTCAAAAACCAGTAATTGAATTTTCCAAGCAAAACTAAATGTAGACTCTTAGCAAATAATCTGTTGGAATTCTTATTTAATGCAATGCTTAATGGATTTTGATAAGAAATACTTATACAAAATGCTTCTTCTCCCCAGCAGATTTCACTTAGGAAAACCTGAAAACCACTCAAGAGAAGGATGGAAAATTAGACTTTGTGAGGTATGAACATGCAGTGGTTTCTTTTCTCTCTCTATTTCTCTCTCTCTCTCTTTCGGTCTTTTAACCAATGTACACACACACACACCCCTTTTACATCGCAAAGAAAATCTCCATGGGAAGGGAAGGCTCCGTAGAGAAAGGCTGAAGATGCCATGGTGCCTGCCAGGGAAGATAGCAGCAAGGCTTGGGCAGTGGGGCACATCCATCAAGGCACTGCCCCAAGTGTGGGGTCTCAGGTAGAGCCCCGTGGGCAATCTTTCAAGAGCTGCTCTAATCCCATAGGCTAAGGTGAATGGTCTCAACCACTGTCGAAACTCTGCTGTACTTTCTCACCAACACGACTTGCTCTTTGCTTATGTTCATCTATTACCCCACAGTCATGAAGTCCCTCAAGAGTCTTCCTATTGCCATTTAGAAAGAGCATTGAGTCAACATGAACCAGGTTGTCCACGTCTCCTGTCACCATAGAAAGGTCACGCATGTGCATTTGTTAAAAATCATATCTGAGCACGTGCATTTTTACCATTGGAGTTGTCCTGGGCACCCAACCCTTGCAGGTATGGGTGGAGAAAGCAAATTAAAAACATCATCTACTTTAAAATCTGTCAACAATCTGAAACTGTACATTCTCTAAGATGTGGCCCATCAAAGGCATCCGATCGGTCTGAAACTATGTCTGAATTCTTCCATATAAGCACCATTGTCCTGACGTTAAACTCTAGTGGATTAAGAGAAAAGAAAATATCTCATTCCCATTTCTCATTACCCTAAACCCTCAAATATTTTTGTTGGGATTTGTAGGTGTTAACTTTGAATCATGTAATGTTTATTTAAGATATAATCTCTAAAGTACACAGGGATTTTTAGAAAACAAAGGATTTTATCTCTAGAGTACATCAATAGGATGGTCCCTTTCCCATTCGTGAGGATTAAAACATATCTGTCACAGATTAGCTAAGTGGTGCCATCAGTACTTTGCAAGATGCTTGGAATCATTGACACACAAATATGCTTTTGAAATATTGATATTGAGCCTTAATCTTGTTGTGAGTTCTTTTAATTTCATAATTAGTTCACTGATGTTTTTGGATAGAAATATTCACTCAACACTTGCATGCTCATGCATGAGGGGAGACCTGATTGGTACAGAGGTAACGAAGCCTGAGGAGCTCATTCTTTTAGGCCACCAGAAGAGCTGAGTGCATGAGCTGAGCCCGGGACACCACTTTTACTCCTTCTCCCTCACCCTACACTCCTTTGTACCCACCTCAGCCACTTAGCTCCAGGAGTGACCAGATCACCTGGACGAGTGCCCCACAGACACAGGCTTGGTCCTAAGTGTTCAGCAACCAGGGAGTCATCTCAGGCTGCATCTCTTCCTTGTAGCCGTAGCATTCAGTAATAAGCTGGGATTCTCCTTCCCTACTTGGCTGAGAGTTCTAGGCTTCCTCCAAATGGAAATGACAAAGGAAGGGCAGAGAATGAAGAAGGGCAGCCACTAGGGTCAGTTGACCTTGATGCCAGGCTGGTTTTAGGCGGCAGTCACAGAGTCAATCAGAAGAGGGACAGGTATGTGAACCTAACATCACCTGGCTGCTCTTGGTTATTTGGTTAGATGGTGAGTTGCTTGTTTGACTGATTATTAGTGAATTGCTCACTCTCTATTCTGGTTTTGAAGTCTTTCTGCTTTTCTCTACTACAACTGTTTTTCACACGCCTTCTCCTCAATCCACCTCACCTGAGAGCCATCGCTCAGCCTTACCTGGGAATCGGAATTCAGGGAGAACTTGAAAATACCCATGCTCGGGACCTAAGAGACCACCCACACCCACGTCTGGGGGAGGGGGGTCTGTTATGTAACACAGAGAGTTACACATTAGTTGTGAGATGGAGATTTTCCATCTCCCTCTCCCACTCTCTGTGCCGTTCATATCTCAGGACATACGCCTTCTTGCCTGGACCCTAAGACCTGTCGGGCACAGCTAACAAGACGGGACTTGTACCACACAGCCACACTACCACAGATTCAATCCTCATGCCCTTAGACCAGCAGTTCTCAACCTGTGGGTCATGACCCCTTTGAGGGTTGAACAAACCTTTCATAGGGGTCACCCGATTCATAACAGTAGCAAAATTACAGCGATGAAGGAGGAAGGAGAATAATGTTATGGTTGGGGGGTGGGGGTCACCACAACATGAGGAACTGTATTAAAGGGTCGCGGCATTAGGAAGGTTGAGAAGCACTGCCTTAGACAGTTTCCATCACTGGCCACAACTGTGGAAGCCACCTCCCTCTGACACTAGTACGTCCCACCTGCAGCCATACCCCAGCATCACCTGAGGACTTACTAATAGCTGCAGGAGTGAGCAGTGCCCAGGTGGCAAACCCCACACATGGCACCCCAGTACTGTAAAGGACATGGCACTAAGAGAAGCAAGCCCCCTTCTTCTCTGCTTTCTTCCGTCTCCTCCCCTTTTCCTTCTTTCCAGCCCCCCTCCCTTTAGTTGACCTCCCTCTCCCCAGTCTATCCTTGTGGCACCAACTGCTCCTTGGGCCTTTGGCTCAGACAGTTCTTCAAACAATGCAGATACCCTGCACCCTTCCCGTGTTAGGTACCACACTCAGACAGCTCTTCAAACAATGCAGATACCCTGCACCCTTCCCTTGTTAGGTACCACACTCAGACAGCTCTTCAAACAATGCAGATAACTGCACCCTTCCCTTGTTAGGTACCTCACTCAGACAGCTCTTCAAACAATGCAGATACCCTGCACCCTTCCCTTGTTAGGTACCACACTCAGACAGCTCTTCAAACAATTCAGATAGCCTGCACCCTTCCCTTGTTAGGTACCACACTCAGACAGCCCTTCAAACAATGCAGATAACTGCATCCTCCCCTTGTTAGGTACCACACTCAGACAGCTCTTCAAACAATGCAGATAACTGCACCCTCCCCTTGTTAGGTACCTCACTCAGACAGCTCTTCAAACAATGCAGATAACTGCACCCTTCCCTTGTTAGGTACCACACTTGCAAACGGTACACTGGTGGCAGAGAACTTTCAAATTTCAGTGAAGTCATTTCAGAGTAAAAGGGGTTAATCATTTAAGTTTGTCTCTCCTAATACAATAATGGAGTGAATATACAGTTGTCATCAAAGCTTAAAACCAGTAATGCTGTGTGGGCAATTGCTTTTCTTACCATGTGTCAGTCTAAACCCTCTAAATCATTGTCCCTATGCTTTTGATACACACATGTTTCACATTAATAAAAAGTCATAAAGATTATTGATCATCATTTTCCTCTACAGGAACCTGATTTGTGTGGTGTGGGTGTGCCTGCTAGTCACAGATTGTAAGACTCTGCGAGTAGCTTGGTACATGTAGCCTAGATTTGACAACCAGGCCCTAGAATAATCACTGGATAACCACTGCAAACAAGAGAGTTGTTTCATTGGTCAACAATAACTTATCAATCAATCGATCTATGTCTCTATCTGTTGCATCATCTGCTTTCCATCGTATCTATCATCTATCCATCATGGATTGTATCATCTGTTATCCACTTAGTTATCTCTCTACTGATTGATTGATCTACCCATCTGCCGATCACTTGATCACTTCTCAGTGCCCTTAAATGCATCATGATAACCTGCATGTACCTTCAGGAGGACCACTCAGAGTTCATGACAATCATGGAACAGCCCTGGGCGGGGCCAGCACCGCTTTGTGCCAAGGACTCACCCAGATAGTGCCGTCCTGGTGGTAGGGCTTCCAGTTCCTGCCGGTGTCACTGTAGAGCAGCCGGTACTGAGTCACCCAGTCGGAGCTGCTGTATCTCCCTTGCGTGGCGATGGCGCTCATCTGCTTCCGGCTGCCAAAGTCCACCTGGAGCCACTGGTAGTGGTCACTGTCCGACGGGGACCAGCCCCCAGCACCTGGAGGGCAGAGGCAGAGGGACAGTGTGAGCTTAGAGCCAGGGGTCTTTGGGTAGGAGAGAGCCCCGTCCCAGGTCCTAATTGGCAGTGGCGGGGGGCAATTTTGCAGGTACATGAGAAGGGATCCTCTACACATGCTCCTGGGACTCCAACTGATATTCTCCCATCTGGGCAACATTGATACTTTCACCTCTTGATGGTCTAATTAGGTGCTCATTTCCTCAGGAGTAAATGTCTTCATAATTCCTCAATTAGATCTGATTAGTATGACAAAGTCTAATTGGCTGAGGGTCGATCAATTTCCCATGAGTCCCTCCGCTGAAACCACTAGGTTAAAAAAGAAAAAAAGTAGCAATCTGCTCATTCTTCGTCCTTCATAGGAAGGTTTGCCTTTTCACTATGAATAGATAAAATAAAACGCACCTCCTCCTCAACCACATGCTGAGCTTTCATCGGCCCAGTGTGCTCAGGGCTGTCGACCTGCTCTCCTGAGGGTGGAGGAGACAGGACATCAGCAGGGCTGTTGCCAGGGCTTGAGGGAGGCACAAAGGGTGCCTCAGAAACCCGTTTTTAGAATCATGGTCTGAGCTGTGACAAGCAGTGAGACTTCTCTTGATTAAATATAAAATTGATTGGCAAACAGTGAGGACAGAAAACAAAGATTTACTGGAAGAATGACCAGAAGACAAACACTCTTAATTTGTGGTTATATTTTAAATAGCCATGGCTGCGTACAAATTAAATAAAGCACAGGAAAGATGGCATAACTTATAGTCCTAGGAGCTCACATAATTTTTTTCCTATGGATAAGTTTAGCTGCTAATGAAAGAACATGAGAAAAAAAAATTAATACATTACCCCATAGACGGTATATGAAAATAAATGCATCTCCTTTAAGTAAGAAATTTAAAGGCTGACGATAAAAACAATTGAGTCTATGAAAGTAACCATGGAGGGATCATTCCGTAAATCAGCACAGACATACCCTTCATTGAACCTTCTTCACATGACTTGTTTCTGCCTCCAGTTGGGATGGAAGGGCTTGCCCACCACTAGTGGATACAAGACTTGCAGAGAGATGACCTTTAGAGACCAGAAAAAACCCACCCGAGGTCCTGGTCCACTAGGGCTCCTGCGGGGGCCCCATTGCGTCTTGCCTGCTGCAGGTGGAGGCAGAGCTCAAGCAGAGCCCACACCTGCCGCTGCTCAGGAAGCTAGGATAGGCTGGGCACTGTGCAGAGAGATGTCCCAGACAGGGTCACACAGAGTCTCTGGAATCCGGGTTCTGAACAAATGCTAAGCTGTGTGATTGCAGACCAAGGGTCCATATGACCAAGGGAAGGAGGCACTGAGAAAAACAATCAGGGCTACCCAAGGCTTGGAGGATGTTGGCTTTATGTCTACCGAGGGAGAGACCTTGTTGACAAGCCAGGCATTCAGTGGCGACGCAGGAAGGGCATGGACTGGGAACGGGGGTCACTGAATCCTAAACTAAAGGCTACTCTGGAGACAGCCGAACAAAGCGCAGAAACACGCTTCAACGCCATGAAGCTGACCCCAAGTAAATGAACTCTGATCAGGAAACTCAAAAACAAATAAACGCACCTATGAGGCGGGCGTCAGCATTTCAGACATGCGATAACATACCATCCATAGTTTCTGGTATGTTATATATATTTAACTACTAGATAGTTTGAGAAACAGAAAAAGCATGGGGCCTAGAGAGAGTATAAACTAAGGGAGAGATTGTTGAAGGATTCCCTCACCCCAGGCCTGACTGCGAGCAAGCCCGGGCCCCACAGAAGGAAGCGCGGCTTGGTCCTGATGCTCCTCACAGACATGGCTGTGCCCGAGCCCTTGTTGCAGCCACTGTGTCAGTCCATCTCAGGAAAGATCTTCCTCTTTCCTCCGACCTTCGACTGGATCACGCTTGGTGGCCTTCTCAGGACTGGTCCCTCTTGAGCGCATGCACAAAGGAAGTGAGGGAGACGGCGTGTCACTCTCCTTGTTTCTAGGAAGCGCCGTGGAAGAGCTTCTTCTAAACCCTGTGGGCTCGTGATGCTGAGCGTCGTCCACACACATCGGTTCCCCTGAGGACTTCTTCATTCAGGGTCCAGAGTCCACCCGCACAGGGCGCTTCTGCCCCCAACCATGACAGACGGGAGAAGGAGCAGACAGGGGAGTTAGAAGAAAGAGTGTAAAATAGTTCACTTCTGTCACAGAAAACGTACATGCATTGAAGAAGAAAATCTAGAACTCTTCCTTGACAAATGCAAACGATAGACGGAACAAAGCGGCGATTTCAGAACTGAAACGTATTTCTCAAGTTGGAACTTGGCTGGATTGGCCTAATGCAGTTAAACAATGGAGAAGAAAGCATCAGCGTTCCTCAAGACAAGGTCATATAAACATCGAGATTGAAGTTCAGAGGGGCAAGGACATTACAGATGAGCAGAACCCCGGTGACCAGGAGAAAGTGCCTTAGTGCTCATGCAAATAGAGGACTGGAAGCACAGAGGATAGACCTGGGGTAGAAACAATGGGCAGAAAGAGCATCTGAGAAACACAAACTCAGATTTCTGAGACACGCTTCGACTTAGAGACAGATGACCAAAGTGAGCACTTGTGCCGAGTGCTGGTGGAGCTGGCTCAGACTCACCGCTCCCTGAGGTGCGGCAGAAAGAGCACTGCCCTGCCGGGCCCATCCTCACCACGGTTCTGTGCGAGCCGTTTCTTGAAGCCAATCTGTCCGTGCAGCTAACTGAGCATCCTCACCTTTTCGGGTGACCCTTTACAAACTATCACGTCCTTTCACAGTAGGCAAAGTCTCCGCATTTTGGCTCTAAGAAGCACTCTGGCTGAACTTCTAAGATGCATTTGCTTATTCTTCTGGCAGTCCATCATATAGTGGATATTCTTTATCAACCTCATAATTCAAAAGCATTGGTTCATCTCCAGTGGTCCTTATTCATTATTGCATGCATACGGGGTGGTTGAAAATATCAGGGATCGAGTCAGGTGCTACTCAGTTATCAAAGTGACATCGAAGCTCTTCCACACGCTAAGGAGGACTGGGGCATTGGATGTGCCCAGAGGCAGTGCACCCTTTAATTTCTTGACGGTGGCTTCTGTGAACGTTGATAGTGAATCCAAGCACACTGGAGCCCTTGACCACGTCAAACGTGGCTTCATTTATCGTGATGCTGTCCACTGGTCTTGCTGTCAGGGGTTTTTCCGTCCCTTTATGTTGAGCTGCCACCCACAGAGAAGACTCAGGAAGAACATTGAGTTCCCAAAACGTCTTGGAACATGAATGAACCTGGAGGACGTAATATTGAGTAAAATAATTCAATTGCACATACCTCCATACATGTCTTCAGGCTTATTAAATTATATGGACAAGTAAATACAAGAAATATGTCCAATTGGGAACTCTGCGGGCACAACAGGCTAAGCATTGGACTTCTACCCGCAAGATCAGATGTTCAACCCACCCACCACTACATGGGAACAAGGTGAATGAGGGGTCTGCTTCTGGAAAGAGCCTTAGCAACCCCAAGGAGAGGCTCTTCTATGTCTTGTAGAAGTGCTCTCTGTCCTATAGAGTTGTTCTCTGTCCTGTAGAGGTGTTCTCTGTCTTGTAGAGCTGCTCTCTGTCCTGTAGAGTTGTTCTCTGTCCTGTAGAGTTGTTCCCTATTCTGTAGAGGTGTTCTCTGTCCTGGAGAGTTACCCTCTGTCCTGCAGAGTTGTTCTCTGTCCTGTAGAGTTACCCTCTGTCCTGTAGAGTTGTTCTCTGTCCTGCAGAGTTGCTCTCTGTCCTGTAGAGTTGTTCCCTATTCTGTAGAGTTGTTCCCTATTCTGTAGAGTTGTTCCCTATTCTGTAGAGTTG